ATAAAGTTTTCAGAAAATGAAAAACAAAAATACTTGGGCGACACGGGAGAATGGGAAGCCATAACGATAAGAGGACAAATCATCCTCAGCTTTTCTTCACTTACCCCTCAACTAATTCATTACCACATATTAAAAATAAACCTAAAATAAAAATGCTTTTGGTCTGACCTCCGAGACCATCAATGGCATGTGCGGGAAGGGCCTGAAATATATGTGTTACCAATTGTGCACACGATCCTAAAATGAAAGTATATTTAACCCCTTTATTGCTCGAGACAGCCAGAAGCTATCCATGTGTAACTGTGCAATATACAACTCTTGGCCGGTCTAGTAATGCCGGGGTTATAAATCAAGTGCGGGGCAGTTTAAAACAATAACTGAAATGAAACGTAAGCCTTGCAAGAAACAAAAAAGGTCAGGAACTAGGAACAAAGCAAATAATGGACAGCCCACTGCTCCGATAGGTTGACCGTGGGAATTTTTGGGTGGGGTTTTTTTTTTTCTATTTTTTACCTTCAAAGTTCTCTCTCCCCTGTTGCACGACACATGCATTATACGCCAAGATTTACAACCCAGATGAGGAGGAAGAGACAACAAATAAAATAGTGTCCCGTCTCAATAACAAAAAGATGTCGTCGGAGCCAAAAGGTGCGGCTTCCCCAGGATCGGGTGGCCTGGAGCATTCCTCCCTGCATCCGACCCCAAGCACATAACGCAGGGTCCCGTTATCGCAGGTCCCAGTCATGACCTCACAGCGTGTGCTGTTTACGCATGAAGCCCCAGGGTCTTCTCACTCATCCTCATCTTCTTCATCCTCCTCGCCATCAGACAGCGCTGTACAAGGGCGGATCTGACGATAACCATCCAACCATTTTTCCATCATTTGCGTCACTAGCGGGTGGTTACGACGGCGGGAGCTTTTTTGCATGGCTACCAAGACCCCGCCTTCCGTCACACAACAGTCCAACCATTCGCGCAGGAGCTTCTCCTGCTGGTCCTCGTTTCCAAGCTTCAACAGATGAAAATAAAAAGGAGACACAAAAATGTTAGTATAATGAGTGCAGTCTGAAAGCAAATACACCCCGATGCATTGATTTATAAATAGAACATAGCAAAGGATGACATATGCACAGTGTCTGCGCATAGATAATGAGCTTGGTCACCTGCAGTCACCATAGAGACCCATGTCTGGTCACCGTGCAGAGAAATGAAGGTCTACTAGTCTCAGTACTCCCAATGGTGCTGGACAAGACCCCAGACGTCCATAACACTGAAAACAGAGATTTCGATGGACGTAGAAAAGTTGATGGTGTCGCACGCTGACGTACATCGAAACCCGAGAACAAAAATGTAACATACTGCACCTTACTAAGCCTTAGGTGGGGTGGCTGCATTTCAAACAATCTTCTGTAACCTACAAAATTATTTGAGACTGAGGAGTTTTGTAGTCCAAAAAAGGAGAGCATCCTATAGCGACCATGCTGCTCCTCCAGTGATACATTGGGGTGAGTGTAGCCCCCAGAACATAGCAGGAGATGGAAGATTGCAGTGGACAACAGAATCTCTGAATCCAGTGGCTGATTCACCTTGGCAGTCACCAAATCCGGAAACACTGGTCTGAATGGACTGACCCTTGAAGAAAGCTCTGCAGCTCAGCCAAACATCTGACAAAATGACATAAAACCCAACAAAGGATGGAAAGCAGACGAACCGGTTTTCAGGATTAAGCACTCTGGTCACCGTACAATTCAGGTCATCCCTTTTTGGGAAATGTAAACAGTCCCCAAAGACTTGTTGGCTGCGTTTCAGTCGTCTGCTTTTCATCAACGCTCACTCTCCGCCAAATCTATTCCCGCCATTAGAGAGCCCGGCCAGAAAACACAACCGACGGACCTACAGCGTAAAACTTGTTTTATTACGGGCAGAGGGAAAGGTTAGAACCTCCCGTCAGATTTTTACTGCCGTCTGTGACCTGACGGAGCATTACCGGGTCAGGACATTCTTATTATACAGGATTTAGAGATATTTATGA